CTGCTCTCAGCCAAGCTCATGCTGCAAACAGCCAGAGTAAGAGCCTGGTTCAAGTACCAGAAAGGTTTTTCTTTCTGTGCAAAGATTAGACCTTTCCATTGATGCTTTTTGGCCATAGCAACCATACTTTATCCCAGAATTGCAACAGAGCATTCCCAGAGCAGCTCCTGGTTCCAGTGGTGAGTAACAGCCTCTGCTCCCAGTTATGGAATAGCAGAGGTGAGACACAGCACCGTGAGCTCCCAGAGCTATGGCACTGCTGGGGCTGAGATTGGCACTCACAGATCTGGCTGCCACTCTCCACAGGGTGGGAGTTGCTCCCAAAATATTCCTGATGCTCCTAGCTCTTTTCTTCATAAAGTGGTTCTAGGAAACTGTACGAGAGACCCTGCCAGGAGGGAGCAGGAGGCTGTGCCCACAGCAGCAGGAGCAGGGAGGGGGCAGGGGGCTGTGCTGAGGAAATGGAGCAGTTCTGACCTCACTAATCGAGTTGAGCTCTTCCACAAGCCAGAATTCCCTGATGTCTGCATCCCACCTATTACTTTTGTATCGATTTTTAATCTATGAAATGATGCACACTAGTCATACTTTCATGGGTTTTGCCTGTGATTTAAAATAACATTTTTTAACCCAATCTCTGTAATTAAAAGTGCATTGTATATGCTGTAATTTTAACATATTTTCATCTGTGGAGGAATCCAGGCTGTGGCCTGTGGCTGTCTTCACTGCAGGTCTCTCTGGTGAGTCTCGGAGTTCAGGTTGCACCATGAGCACAGCAGTCAGAAGCTGTACGGAGTGTGGCAGGAGGCAATAAGCCTGCTCTGCTCCAGGACAGCCTTGGGGCCTTGGCTCAAAGTAAATGTCAGTCACAGTGTCGAGGAGACGCTTTCCCTCAATTCTGTGAGCTGCACCACTCCCCTCCCAGGCCAGGGGACACCAAAGCAAGTCCTGCTCTTCCACAGAGCATGGAGAGGTGTGGGATGAATCCCCGAGGCTGCCAGGGCAAAGTTCCCTTATCTGGTGAGCTCTCCAATGCTCACTAAGCAAATTGATGCCCATCTAAGAGCATGACCTGGAGCCTCACTAGGATGGGGAATCCCATGGCAGAGAACACCCTGGGCTGGATCCAAGGGCTCCCCAGGCTTCCTGAGCTCCTGGTGCTTCCCCAGCCACCATCCTTCCCATCTGCAGTGGCCTCACTGCATATGTGGTGGCTTTTCATCCCACTCGTGGGTGCTGTGTCCATCAACCAGTGCCTAGCACATGGAGAGCGAAGGCAGAATGGACTCTGGTGCTCAGGAGTAAGTCCTGGCTCTGGTCTGTTCAAGGCTGATAGGAATCCAGGCAGAATAATAAACACTTCTGTGGACTCTGCCTCTTTTCTGAGTGCTCTCTGGGCCCAGACTCGAATAAGGAATGTAGGAGAAGTGTTATGTTTGTTGTTTCTGCCCCCCCAGATGGGTGAATTCCGAGTGCCCCTGTACTGTCCCTGCTCAGGGATGTGTGTGGACACCCAGGCAGTTGTCCTGCACCAGAGAGGCTCAAGGACAGGACAGTGTGTGAGGGCACTCAGAGCTCCTGCCCCATGCACAGCCTGGATCCCTGTGAACAGTCAGAAATGGGATTTCGAGGGCTTAGGAGCTATCTTCGGCATGGCAGTAGAACAGAAATATCGACAGTTTTGCACTATTAATAGAATAATGGCTTGGCAATCCTATCACCAGGCTGAAATCTTCACTTAGTGCATTCTGTCTTGATTTGAAATACTTTTAGCTTTGATATGCCAGTCAGGAAAAGCTCAGTTGTAACAGCTATTGCTTGTAAATGTGCTCTTCATAGTCTCCTAGGCATTTAGGAATATATGTATGGATGATGCCAAGCATGAGCTGGGAAATAGCTGCCATGTTCCTCGGGGCACACAGAAAGTTTATATTTCAGGGTATTGGATGAAACAAAAAACTTCCCGTTATTGAAAAATATGTATGGAGAGTTCCCCTTTCCATCCAGCATTTGCTAATAGCATTCAGGCTAATAAACTGTGCAGAACTTGTAACTCGCACCAAGATTTATCTGGAGCTGAGAGCTGCACTTTGTACTGTGAAGTGCCTTTACGTGTGGCAGCAAACTGTTCATGGCTGATTTGGTTTTATTCCTGCCATCTTACTTCTGGAAAGTTCCTCTTTCTCCTTCTATCATTAGATAGTAATTAGTATTCAGGGGAAATTGGTCTTAATATATTAAAATTGTTTTAGTGCCTTTAGACCTATAACAAAGCCAATGTCTTATTGGAAAATGTAATTGGGGGTTCTGTGTATGTAATTAATTGTATTGCAATTAAGAACTTTCATTAAGCAATATTCTAGTACATTAAAGTAATAAGGGACATTTTTGCAGTGCAGTTAACTTTGTATTTTGTTGTTTTATCAAGGAAACACAGGTTCACTTGCTCCTCAGCAGGCTGCATGTGGCATTTCAATACTCTGGTATTCCTAAGGTGTCTTTTTAGTGTCTTCTGGTGCTGGCAGGGTTCCTGTCAGAGGAGGCTTCAGTTTTAGCTGAGTCCCTGTCTGAGGAGACTCCTTGCGTTTAGCCAAGTCCCTGTTGGAGGTGGCTCCAGGGTTAGCTCAGTGCCTGTTGCCTTTCCAAGCAGAGGCTTTCCCATTCTGGAGCCAGGCTGTGATCTCCACTGCACACACCCTGACAGGTAAATCCCTGACAGGTTTGTTCACAGCTGCTTGCATGGGGAAGTGGTTTTCGTGGGCTTTCCCCCAGTCCAGGGGGAGGTGGCCCTGCCCTCACTGCCACGTGCAGTAGAGCACAGAGACCTTTCTGGCCATGAGTGAGCCCTGTGCCAGGTGCTGTGGGTGGGTTTGTCCCCACAGGGCACTTCTCTGCTGTCACTGGTGCCACTGCTCTTTCCCCTGCCCCTCTGAGTCCATGTCCTGCCACCCTCAGGCACAGGATCAGTGTAGTGGAGCAGCTCCTGGCTGCTCTCCCAGGGGCAGCAGCTCAGAAATCCTGGGAAGCTGAACCCATTCACAAAGCTTCATGAAACAGCACTTGGTGCTCCTGCAGCTCAGGCAGTGACAGGTGCTCAGGTGGCAGAGTAAGTGGTTTTCCCTGGATATGACCTGGCAGGCTGCAAATTGTCTTTCTCATACTTCTGGTTCGGGTGTGTGAAATCTGAGAAGCCTCAGCATGACAGCAACTGTGTAGGGTTGTCACAGTGTCCCCCATGCCATAATTCCAGGTGGCCAGCATGGCTGGAGCAGTTCAGGGCCAGGCAGGAGGTGGAGGCAGAGGGACAGTGTTACCCACAGGGTGTCCTGCAGATCCTGGTCCTGTGAAGTGTTCTGACCACATTTGGCAGGAGGTGCAGGAGGGAGGTCAGTATGTTGCCACTTTCTGTGTTGTTCCTGAATTCCTCATCGCTGCTGATGCTGTTTGGCTGTTGGTGCTGACACTCCCTCACAGGTACCCCTGGAGCCCCAGCATTGCCGTGGCAGGGGCAGCACATGGCACCACACTCCCCTCTGTGTCCTAGCAGGGCTTTGTGTGGCCTCCCTGCCCAGCTCCTTACCAGCACTGACCCTGGTCAGTGTGGTCCTTCCCTGTCCAGCCGTGTCCCAGTCTGTCCCAGTCTGTCCCAGCCCCTAGGGGATGCCCAGGTTTGACTGCGTGTCCTGCCGTGCCCATGTCCCAGCACAATGTGTTCTTGTGACCCCACACAGCAGGGACAGGGCTGCAGGGGCACATCCCTGGTCTCCACCAGGGGACAAGGGTCCTGGCTGGCTCTCATGGCAAGGCATCCCATCCTCCTGCTTCACTTCAGACACTGCCATGCCACAGTCTTTCAAGGTGCTTTTAAGTGCACCAAAAAGTTTGACATATCTCAGTGTATCTTTGGAGTAGTGCAGCATGAGGGTTTGACATGATACATTATGATAATCCATAGTATAGAGACATTAACACAGAGGTCTGTGACAAAATGCATTGTAATGTCTCGGAAGGAGCCATTACAATTTATCTTGTCATTCTGGAGCATGGAGTGGTTGCAGTGTTAAGATGGCTCTGCATAAATTCACATGGAGACTGTTTCATTTGATTTTTGGAATCCTTTCAAGTCGAGTGGCACAGCCCAATTTGCAGCTTAACCCTTTGGTGTCCCCCAGAGGAACGTCTGCAGTGTGGGGAGGACGTGGCACCAGAGAACTGTGAACGTCTGTGACATGGGAACCTCCTGCTTTGTCCTCTCAGTGTGGATTTTGGCTCACTTAACAGCAGATGCTCACCTTGCCTTGATGCAGACAGGGGAGATGTTTACCACAGGCTGTGCTGTTAGCACAGAGACAGGGAATGTGGTGCAGGAGTGTTCCCTGCTCAAGGGGAGCTCCTCTTCTCCACCTGCCCTTGTCCTGCTGGTGGCCACAGTCCCCACAGTTTCCCATGCCCAAGCAAACAGTGTGTCCCTCAGCAGCTCTAAATCTCCCTGTTCAGAGGGATCTGCTCCTGCATCAGCAGTCTGTGTTGGACACACATGTCAGGGCTTTTCTCCCTGGAGCTGTGGCCTTTCCTGGCAAACCACTCCCTTGTCACTGGGACCCAAAGATGGGAACCCACCACTGCTCCCCTGCAATCCCTGGGCAGATGGGAATGTACCCTCCCAGCAGGAAAGGTCAGCACGGGGAGCATTAGTGTTGGCTGCTCTCAAGTAAAATCAGTACTGAAACCTCAGAGAAGTTGGTACCTGCTTTGCTGGAGCTTTAAGACCTGTACTAAAATTCCATCATCTTATCTTCCCGTTATTAAAATTTCAGCAAAATATAAAGTTTTCATTAATTTCCTGCAGCAAATTTAGTTCTCTGAACTGGCAGTTAGTTCAGCTTTTAGGGCTGCATTAGCTGGGATATTAAACAAAAAGTGTCACTCCTCAGCATCTCCTGTAAGAAGCTAAATCAGTTTTCAAACATATTTATACCACTTTATCTGCAGCATCTGAGTGTCATTTGAGCTGAGGTGCTTTATTAGCAGCTGGCACCGAAACTGCTCTGCGCGCAATTATACTTCGCATTCCAGTAATGTTGGAATTGGTGTTAATCCAACGTCATAAAACGTAAAAAATCTTTAAAGTCTGTTATATTTTTTCAGTAATTGGCTTTTTGGCTTAATGAGATGTTACCTTTTATAAAGGCAGTACCCACCAGTGAACCAAGCCTGGCCTGGTCAGCGCGGGTGGCACCGCTGGGCCGGGGCTGCTTTCTGTTCACGGGCTGTGTCCTCCTGGCACTGCCTCGGGACCTGCACACAGTGCAAACAGCTCTCACCCTGTCCTCAGTGCCTCAGTGGCTTTGTCCTGGGGTGGCGGGAGGAGTTCTCCCTCAAGACACAGCCCGGAGCGTTCGGTTCCACCGCGGGCCGAGCGGGCACCACTTTTCAGACCCGTTCATTGCTGTCACCTCGTCCTGCAGGTTCAAGAGGAGAAGAGGTGTCGGAGGAGGACCCACAGATCGACATTGCCACAGTCCAGGACATGCTCAGCAGTCACCATTACAAGTCCTTCAAGGTCAGCATGATCCATCGGCTGCGGTTCACCACGGACGTGCAGTTGGGTAAGTCAGTCCGTGCCGTGCCGCGGGGAGAGCGGGTCAGACCTTTGGCATCTCCAGCACCTGGCTGACATCTCATCTCAGGCTCTTGGGAACCACTCGTCATCACCTTGGTCCATTTTCTCCTGAAGCATTTGGAAGTGCTTCTAGCATTTCAGTGGTTAAAAAAAAGCTGCTTTCAGTTGAAAATAGTTGAGTATTTTTATTACCCCAATCAGCTAGCACATGTTTCTCCTGAGCGAAGGCCATTATTTAATGACCTCCTCTCTTTTTTCAATCTAGGCTTCCTAATGGAAAGCTTCTTGCCAACTGTTTTGTTATTTTTAAATGAGGCTTTGCAAAATTGGGAGTTATTGGGTTTTTCCTTTTCTGAGGCTGAAAGATTTTAACAACCAAGTGGAAATTTGAGGTGGAACAGCATAAACCGACCGTTTTCTAAAGGTTTTCTGTTGTCCTTACTGCCTTGCTGAATGCTTTTGCAAACCCGAAGGCCAAGGGCTGACAGAATCCTGAATTATAAAAGGCCCATTACTGCTGTAAAGTGATTGAATGGCTTTTTATCTTTGTGTTTAAATTGTGGAAATTTGATTAATGATGCGTCGGGAGGTGACCTGTGACATCCTGCAAATACCTTCCATACAGAAATGATTCAGCAGTAAAATATTGAGTGCCACAATGTTTACAAAATGCATTTATTGGGCAGGTTCAGTGGAGTTGTTACATTTAAGCTGTACCAGTTCCCGTTGTGGTGTCAGTGCAGTCTCCCCATTCTCGCCTCCCACGGCACTCGGAGTGCTGTGCCCAGAGCTCAGAGCTGAGCTGCCCTGGTTTGGAGTGAGCTGTCTGCTTAAGGCAGGATTTATCTGCTGCCCCAGAGCAGGGCAGTGCTGGGCGCTCGCCGCCGCGCCGCAACTCTCAGTGTGATAGTTTGCTTCCAGTGAAGTTTGACTCACTACGTCTGGGAAGTGTCAGAAATGAGATCTTGAAAAGGTCATGACAGATCACTAAAGATAAATGGTTAAGGGAGAAGAGCTGTTAAATGAAACAAATGGCTTAACTTGTGCAGCAGTGGAGGAGCTGACCCTGCCCAGTGCTGGAAGGACCATAAAATTTACCTTTTATAACAGTCTGTGAACCTGTGTGGTTTGATGGCACTGACAGTGGGGGGGTTGGAGTCTAATTACCTTCTAAAATCAGAGGAAGCCACAGTGGGGTGTTCAAGGCTTGGGCAAATGTAGAGCATCACGACCCTTCAATACAGTGGAGGAAGTGTGTGTTGCTGTGGTTCCTCCTGCATCTTCAAAGGCATTAAAAGGTCAGCACTGGTGCTAGGAGCTCTGAGGGGCTGTTTGGGTTGGGCTGCTGAGTGCTGTGTGTGACCTGTGAGTGTCAGGCTGCTCCTCATGCCCTGAAATGGGAAAAGCCAGGCTGATTTTGGGGTTTGCTCATAGTATCTGGTCTGGGAGCTGTTCCCTGGCAGTTGGATGAGGACCAATTGCAGAGACTTTTCTCTAGCTGTTTTGTGCCATCAGTTTTACATCACATGCCAGAGCAGGTCGGCTGATGTGAGCCACTGGAAGCCACATGGAAGGATGTTTACGTGTGACAGAGCCCAGAAATGGTGGGGAGAGCCCTCAGTGTAGCCCCTCAGCCCTCCCTGCAGGTAGGACACACGTGTGTGTTGGAGCAGGTTCTGCCTGGGGGTTTGATTCAGCTGTGCAGAGAAGGGAGTGATGTGTGAACTGCGCTTGTAGTTACTGCTTGCTACTGGCACCTTTCAAAACCTTTTCGCTGCTTTGGGGCTGATCCTTGAATCTGAGACAAGGTTTACCAAAAACATGGGAGTAAGTCTGATGTTCTGCACAGTGTGCAGAGCTCTGTAGCGAAGAGCAGTCCGTGGGTGACTGTGGGGGGAGTGCCCAGCCCTCTGACTGGTGGTCAGGGTGGCAGTTTGAGGTTTGGAGTCCATGTTCCACCCCATATCACTGGGCAGTGCACATACAGCAGCACTCTCAGCAGTCTCACAAAGGCTCTAGCATGATGTGGAGGAATAAGACACATTTGCTCGTGTATCACATTAGCAGAACTAACAGGAGCATATTGTCTGGGAAAATGACTGCTGGCAAGTGTTTCAGGAAGGGGGGGCAGTTGCAGACCCCAACAAAGGAAGCAAGAACAGAACAGTGTCACTGGACCCAAACATCGATGACATCTCTTCTGATAGAACGGATGAATTAAAAAGCAGTAGGAGCAGCATTTTTACTGGGTTTGGAGTATGAGTGATCTGTGCTGCGAGACAGAGACTGCAGGAGCCACAGACACAATACTGTTTTGATTTTAGGCTTCAACACATCCAGATTGTGAGAACAATAACAGAAAAAAGACAACATTCTTTGTCAATGTGCTCTCGGATGTGGGTGAGCCTGAGCCAGCGATGTGGAGATACAGAAATAATGGATGAAGTATACAGGACAATTTGCAGATAAAAATAATAGAAGTTAAAGTGTATTTTACATGATAAAAAAAAGATGAAAGAGGAGGAAGTCTGTTCCATCTGAGATGGTTACAAAATGGTGAAGTAGCCTCTGCTGAGAAGATTGATGCAATGGGGAGTGACCTTGGCTTGGAGCAGGAGCTGGTGATGTATGTATGAGCATCTCGCTGCTAAATGGACCCAGATTTGTAGCACTAATATACATGGAAGCCCAGAACCAAACTCAGGATGGCAATAAATCAACAGCCACTTTGGGTGTCATTTCTGGTTTATATTCCACTATTGTTCTATCACTTTAATTCATGTCACTATCATCTGTTCATCTGGAACAGTTTTATATAATTTTCCAGTGGAGTTACCTGACAAATCCTATCAAATTAACAAGGTGTATTAACAGTATTGACTGACTGTGAATTCTGAAGTTGCAGGACCAAACAGTGAAAGTGTTTTGGGGATATGTCCAGGAATGATGCTCTTGAGGAAGGGATGGGGAACAGCCCTCACACACAAAGAATTTGCACCTTTATTTTTGGAACTTCCCCTGACTTTTTTCAGTGAGAAAAGAAGACTTTGTGCCATCAAATTCCTTATTTTGCTCAAACCACAGCAAATGCCATTTGGAATAATTAACCATTCCAGTGAAATGCCAACACTGATTTTAAATAACCTGTCCAAAATTAAATCACCAACCCAAATGGGCTCCAGATACAGCCTCAGCCTGCTCAGACTGGTGAGTTCCAGCAGGCTGGCGTTAATTGGGCTCTTGGTACAATGCTAATTGAACTGTGGTCTCTACCGTGACGTGTGTTCGGTGACAAAGCACATTGCTGGATTGATGGGGAGTGAGGGTGACCTGGTGTTGGGGTAGGGGCTGCAGTGAGACCCCCTTGGGTCCTGCCCTATCCTGCCCCTGTGCATTGCAGGGAACACAAACAGATGTGGTTTGCAAACTCAGCTGGCCGTGGCCAGGCTGTAAGAAATACCAGGTGGATTTTGGAGAGCTGGTGAGAGCTGTGTGTGGCATCTGGCGGTTGTTTTGGTCACAGCTCTCAGAAGTTTCTTCATCAGCTCCTTTAGTTTTCTTGAGCTTCAGATGAGCCAGGTGAGATATCTCATGAGGTGTCAATGGGGTGGCTCTGTCAGAGTCAGACCCCTCAGGAGGGTTCTGGCTGTATTGCTTCCTCGTGTTGATGCCTCATGAGCTTCATCTGTAACTTGTGACCGAAGACACCTCAGTGTTTTGGAGGCTCTGCACACCTTGGTGCAAAAAGCTCCCTGGGAAGTTCGCTCAAGTGTGTGAGCAGCTCCTGAACAGGTTCCCACAGGATGCTCCTTGCCCTCCTCCTGTCCTGGCAGCATCCCGTGGGAAGGGCTGTCCGTAAGGTGTGGGGGGTGAGAAGGACTCACTGTGCTCCCACTCCGAGCGCTGCGGCCTCAGGACTGCGCCTGGCACCCGTGCCAGGAGCCACACGAAGCCTCAGAGCTGGCTCTGGGGTGCCAGCAGGGTAGGAGTACCCTGGAGTCCCTGGACACCTTTGTCTGGGGGGTCTGGGCAGCGCTGGGAACGGAGCTGTCCCCATGCAGGGGCAGTGTGTGCTCTGGGGCTGGAGCAGGGTGAGCCCAGAGGCTCCGGCGTGAGCTGTGAGCAGATGGAGTAGTGGTGGTGGTGATAGTGTCTGTTACACAGAGCAGTGGGGGTGGAAAACCAGCACTATCTTTCTATAAATCTCGCAGCTCGTGTAGCTGCTGCTTCCAGGAGAGCTCTGTTGGCGCTGGGAAGGGTTTTCTCTGTGATATTTCTTTCTTTTGGTATGCTTATGCAGGGGGATAAAATGCAGATTATCAATGCGGTTTGATAACCATTTGCTCTGGTTTCCAAAGCTCCTGTGCTTTCAGAAAGCCCAGAAGGGCAATATCCCCTCAGCCCATTTAAGATTTATAAAGTGTGTCAAACGGCTGATATGAAATCGGTTAAACAGATCACTGTTGTGGCTCTCTATTCTTTCTCATCTCAGGTATTTCTGGAGACAAGGTAGAGATAGACCCTGTTACTAATCAGAAGGCCAGCACTAAGTTTTGGATTAAGCAGAAACCCATTTCAATCGATTCTGAACTCCTCTGTGCCTGTGACCTTGCGGAAGAAAAAAGCCCAAGTGAGTAGTCCTTTTTATTTATGTTCTCTCTCCTCTCCCTCCCTGGATGTGCTGGATGTCCAAAGAATTATTGCTACCATGTCCTTTTCTTTCTCTAGGTGTATTTTATTCATTACAGGATGTTTTTAATCTGACTCGATGCTGTTACAGAGAACACACGTAAACAGACACACGTTTTACGAGTGTCCTTTGGTGTTGCTCTCAGCTGATGGCATCGCTCAGTGTCTCTTGCCACTGCCACACGGTGGGAGCACTGGCCCTGCCTGGCTCCTCCAGCCCCTCAGCCCGCCAGGGAGATCCACTCTTCCACACAGAGGCAACGGTTTTGTACTTTTTAACATTCAGGCTGGTTTTCCACAGTCCCTGGTGCAGCTGAGGATCTGAGCCGCACAGTGAGTGTGAGCTGGGTCTGCCCCAGCCGTGGCTCAGGGTCTCCAGGCACGGAGGTGCCGCTCGAGGTTCTGCTCCGTGGCAGAGCCCACCAGGCTGTGATGTCCCAGCTCACAGCTTCACCCCCAGCTCAGGGCTGGCTGCTCAGAGCACAGCTCCAAAGCCAAGGGCTTCTGCGTGTTGTAGCAGTGGAGTAACAAGAGCCTCTGGGAAATTTGTTCCCAAAGGTGTGAGATGGGCCCTGGGGGAGCCAGGCAATGTCTCCCAAAGTGGAACCGTCTACTCTCAAACAGTGACTGTGGTTCAAAGGCTCAGATGGGTTTTATTGCACTTGTGCCTCTGCAGGGTAGGGATGCTGGTATTAAGTACTTATCTGCAAGGTGACAGAGAGGGAGAATTATGTGATACATATTTACAGAGGTAATGATCTGTTGAATTCTCTTGGAAGAGTAAATTTATGGCTGCCACAGATTTTATCAGCAATTATTGAACTATATCCTTCTCTCCTTCATTACCCCTTCCTACTTCCCTGTTCTTGGTCTAGACATTGTCTTCCTTTTCTGTCTCTCCAGCAAGATTTTGTGGTCCTTGGGGAGGCAGGAGCCCAAGGAGAAGGTTCCCCAGTGACCAGGTGGTCAGTAATGCCTGAGGGGCAGTTTGCACTGGCAAATACTGGAACAGCTCTGGGTTGTGGCCACATTTCATGGCAAATGCAAACCCCTGAGGTGATAATACTGTGCCCACAAAACCAGACTGTATTTGAACAGCCAGCCTTGAACCCTGAAGTTCCCACTCCTGTCACACAGGACACCTCGCACTGAGTTCTGCCAGGATGGGGCTCAGCCCCCCAGCAGCACCTGCTGCTGTGGGACACTGTACCCAAACCCTGCCTAGCAGGAATCCCAGCCCCAAACACAGCCCTGGTGCAGAAGGGCAGTGCCTGCACGTGGGGACCACTGAGTGAGGAGTCACAGTGGCTTTGGAGAGGACATTAACAGGTGACAAAGGCAACTGTTATGGTACTCAGGGGTTTTCACGTGACCATCATAAACTTCTCTTCCTAAATAAGTGTTCAGCACAGTTCCAGAAGGAGAAAATACTTCCTCCTGAAACTGCTGACCTTCTCCCAACTCACTAAAGATGTTCCAAAAGTCATTATTTTAGGCCAGGAGAAGAGGCTCGGTGTGACACCTCAGAATGATGCATTTTGGGGAGCCGAACAGCAGATCAGTATCTCTTGAATTTTAAATGGAAAAAAAGTTATTTTAGTAGCATAAAGGAATGAAACTCACTGTATTTCACAAGTTTTGTCTGTGATTTTTATCAGCGTGGTGATGTATGTTTGTAGCAGAGTTTACATCAAAAATTATTCCCAGATCTTCCTTGAATGAATTATTGCAAAGAGAGGCTGAGCACAGATAAGGTCTTTGAGTTCTGCAATATATTTTGTTTTCATGTTTTTATCTCTCATAACACAAACATACTCCAGCTCCTCTTCCAGGAGTGCTCTGCACACACTGCTGGTCCTGCTGCCCCTGGCTCTGGTTTGGGGCTGCCTTCCCTCCCACTGAGCCTGGCTGTGCTGGGGCGGGTTCTTGGAGCTGGAGGAGTGAAGGGTTTGCAGGAGCCTCCAAACACAACTGTACTTGTTAGCAGGGGCAAGGGACACTGGGAGTGGGGGTTGAGTGCTGGGAGCTGTACCTAGGTGCTGTGCAGAGCTTTGTGCTCCTGAACAGACAGGACTGTGCAGCAAAGGTTTAGTGGCACGCGTATGTGTGTTCAGGGACTCAACAGCTTCCGAGCTGATGTGGTGGGAATGTTTGCAGAGGGCTCAGAGCTGTTCTGGGCTGAGCGTTCCTGTTCTGTGAGTTCCTAGGACTCGGAGCTGCCTCAGTGAGGACAGAAAATGGGAGCAGAAAGCTCTGGCATCGCCTTCACCATTAGTGGGGGCTGAAGGCAGGGAGGGCTGGTGGTTTTTGTTTGCCCTTGTGGTAGCCCTGGGTCAGCATTTGAATTCTGATGTGTAAATTAAATCAGACTCCCTGGATTCAGAGCGAGGGAAGAGGTAATGGCGCTGCTGGCTCACCCTGATGCCATTAGAACCTGAGAACACTGGGCACAAACAGCTTCTTTCAATCAGGTTCGGCCTGACGATCATGAGAGATTCTGAATGCTCTGAATCCTGAAAGGAAGCATCCTATCATGGAGAAATAGGATTTAGGCCTTAATAAAGTAGTTGTCATTTTTATAGCTGAAAAGGGCTTTGTATCTCAATTAAGTGTACATAATATAAAGTCTTAAGGAAGCAACATAATGCGTTTAATGCAATTACATCCCTTTGCAATAGTGTAATTTAAAGGAAATCTGATTCTGGTAATGTCTCTGACATTACTCGGACAGGGAAGAGCTTCAGTGTCACTGCCTGTGTGCCATGTCCGAGCGTGGGGATGGACACTGCGTCCTGCACCTGCGGGACAGCACGCGACACCCGCCGAGCTCTCCCGCCGCCGCGCCCCGCGAGCTCAGGAACGGATTTGGGTGATGAACTGAAGCAGCATTCACTGTGATCCTGCTTTTTGTTTTCACACAGCAGAGACATCTCAGTTGCTAGGTCAAAACACCCTCAAAGTGGAGGTAAGTCTGAACAAAGGTGTTCTGTAGGTCACGGAGTATGCGGGTAACTCGGGGCTGGGATTTAATTGCCGCTTTGCACCCTGCAGCTCGAGATTTCCTTTAAATTCTGATTCCATTGTTGCACTGGAGCTTAACAGAGTGTTAACCTGGTAATAGGCACAGGGCCTCCCCATTATACGTCTCGCTATCGAGCGGTTCTGCATGGCTAGTTAAAAAAGATGGCAAGAAGATTAATGAAAGGTGCGAGTACAGAGGGGGCAGGTACCTCGGCGAGACTTCCAGCCAGGAGATATTAGAGCTGAACCAGAGCTTGGCTTTTTCTTTATCCCATGACCTTTGAACCTGCCTCGCTGTCGAGAGCTGCCAGCCGCGCCGA